AAATAAAGCATTGCAGCCACAATCAGTGAATCATGGGTGCAAAGCTCTGGCTCCTGTAGACTCTTCCTCCCGTCCATGCCCCTACTTCAGCGCACACATTTAGTAATATAGATACACAGTAAACTGCCACAGGGATTGGTAGATGCCAGAGAATTAAAACTGTATTTTCTGGAAAGCAGACTGGCAATTGCACCCACCCACTGCCAATGAGCAGAGGCGAGTACCTGAGAGAAAACTTCTCTCTCGGGTCCGCTGCTCTGCTCAGTGGGCAGGGTTTCAATAGCTAGCCCGCTATTGCAATTTGAAATAGCAGGCTGGCCATTGTTCCTGCCCACTGCCCGTTGTTAACATTCTGCTGACGGCAGTAAGATGTAAACAGAGAATTTTATTTCCAAACTTAATAAATTTAGCTGCTAATGAAATGTTGTAGTGTGCACATGTCTATCAAGCAACTGGCACAGAAAAAAAACCAAAAAAAAAAAAACCGTTCACTTTAGAGATTTTTCCGCATGCTGTCTTGCATCTCGAGGACAGGAAGTGAAAGGAAATCTCCCCCACAGGACCCAGGCATTAATAAAAACACCTTGCAAGTAGAGAAGGGTTAACCACTACCGGGCCACAATATGTAAATGTACGACGGCCCGCAGAAATGGTTATACCAATATAGCTGCTGCTGCCGCCATGTTCTTGGTGTCAATCTAAACAGCCGGTGATGGCTGTAAAGATGCAAAATACTTTGAATATCCCCTTCTTGCTGCTTAATTTTTTCTTGAAAATATGACACAAAGCCAACATTTTTGGGGGTGTTGGATCCCGGTTCATTCCTGCCCCCCCGAGCTGCTGAACCACACTCCCCGTCACTAGATTCTGTGAGGAGATCCCAGCAAAGCCAACAACTAGAGCAGAGTGTTGGGAGCGCACACAGCAAAATCTGCCCATAGGACAGGAAGAGAGGGGACATCTTCCAATGGGGACACCTGTCTACGAGGGGATTTCCTTCACATTGGAAATATGCTTTCATTCCCGTCCTGTTATACAGGACGGGAACTGAAGAGAAACCTCCCTAATGATACACAGATGGGAGGAAAGAAAAATGAATAAATAAATTGGATCTTAGAAGGAGAGGCGTGTTTGAAAGATTTGGGAAGATTCCAACAACCAGCACATTACAGACAGGGTTAACTCAGGTAAACATTAACTCCCCAGCCTCCTCAATAGCAAAGGAAAACCTCAGTTTTGGCGTTCTTAAGAAAAGTAAAACATAAGCAGTGATTTATTTTTAAGCTGAACCAAGTTCATGTATGTGGATGGGAACATGTTACATATAAAGTACTGTAGGCGTTCTCCCAATGTGGCTGCATATGGTTACCATTGCTATTTGACGCCTGTTTGTCTATCCGTGTTGTTCCAGATGGTCAAGTCACATGAAATCTGGGACCAGCTGGCTGGCAGTTCACAGCTGTGACAAGTGTCGTCAGCATGCGTGCGTGACCAAAATGTGGACAAAGGTCACATGACAGGAGGAAGAACAACGATAAAAAAGAGGAACCGACTCAATATACAGCCCCTTCTACATGACACCAACACTCCATCACTATGCCATACGCACCAAAGAAATCTTAACAAGACAATATATAAAACACACACACACGGATAAGGAAACAAGCTGGAGTCAGAATGATAAATTGCGGTCACGCCAGTTCATTGAATTCCACAGCTTTAAAACCAAAATATTGCTAGATCTGATTATCGGGATATTAAAGTCAAAATGAAATAACTTACAATGGAGGCCGATCCTTAAATGTTTTAGTTTATAGCAGAATCAGGTCGTCCATTTTACAAGCTAGTAGATGGGCGGCTGCTGTAGACTTCTCTGTCCCTTGCACTGGACAGGAAGTTCAGGAAAACAGAGCTAGACAGTTGGAGCTGCTTGGAAACATGGTGACTACGTGCCTGTATTTCTTAAAAGGGTAAAGAAATACTTTGCTGGGTAATGTATATTTTTCTGATCAGGATTCATTACTGAAAAAAAGTTTAAAAAAATCAGTACTACTTCAGAATAATAATGTGTTTTAAATATCAGCCTTTTCCCAGCCCGACTTCTGCTGAACACACAAAACACATCGCTAGATGGGAAATACTACAATATGAAATAAATGATTAACTGTGATTATTACCACTGCCAGGAAAATATATATATATATATAAAGTCTCCATAATCAGTATATGCAACCTCCTCTACTTCCTGCTGCCTGAAAACGGTCCGATGGAGCGCAACATAACAAACTGAAGCCCAACTCAACTTCCCATTCAAATCAGCAAAATATATTCCAGGAGCATCAATACGAAAGGTCTGCAAGTCTCCCAGATGTTTTCTTTAGAAAGCAGCTACAACCCAAAGAGAGAACCCTGTCCCCTGAAAGCAAGCTGTAGAGAAGGACCCCTGCCCCGTGTGTGGAAGCAGTGGTCTCTCTGCAGATGTCTGACACATATCCTGCTGAGTCTGTAATTAGCAAAACTCATGGTCCCTCCTGACTGCAGAGCTACAGGTCTGAACGGGACCTCCAGGAGATGTCAAACAGGGACAAAAAGAAAAAACAAAACTAAAAAGAACACATTGCACACCTTTAGTTAATCGCTAATCGCACCTCTGTGTTTAGTGTGCCCTATCGCACATCACACCTAGCAGGCGATTCCATGCACAAGGTGCGTTGTGATGAATTACAATGGTATACCAAAGTACCTACCGGTGGTCATACATTGCCACAATACAGTGCGTTACGGTGAAAAAGTCGCACGTGCATTACTTTTTTCCCCCCACTGTGGCACACCTAGCCTAACGTGTGATTAGCGCCATGATGTGGTGTGAATGGGCCCCAAAGTGGATTTAAACTGAAATGTAAGTAAGGCTTTACCCTATAGATGGAAAGACAGTAGAAGGATTGTACTCAATAGAGAAAGTGAGCCCAAAAAAATGAACATGTTTTCTTACAAGCCGTCTGCCATCCGGCATCTTTTATAATAAGTGATGTGAGGCTACAAAAAGGAAAATCACATACTACAGCATCTGGGATTGAGTTCTTACCGATCTTTGAGGGGAAGAGGGTCTCGTCATCAAGCTGATCCTGGACCCAAGTCATCAGATAATCAATGTACTTGGGAGCCGAACACTTAATGGGCTTTTTTATGTTGGTGCCGTCTGCCCAGTGGTATTCGTACCTGAAAGATATTTGATGTTAATAAAGTCCTCTTTTATAATGTGAAATCCAATTAAAAGAATCCAAGGGTCCGTGTACAGCTTTGTCTAGAGGTGTCCATACCTCTAGCAATTTGTGTAATCGATTTTAGGTACGAGCGATCACAAGCATTACATTATCGATTAAAAATATCAAAATGGCGCAACAGACACTTTGCTATCAATTTAGATACGTTGACTTGAATTTTCATAGTGCATTGGGTTACATTTTTTTGTGGTCTAATTTTTACCTGAAGCTATACAAGGTATTGGCTCTGCCTTGTGGTGACACGTGTTAGCAGTGCATACCAGTGGGCTGCATTGGGGGGGGGGTACCCGTGTAGAGCCTGCTCTTTTTTTTCAGCGGAGGACAGTGTAACGCACCGGTGCAAAACTGTTCCCATTCATTTTGAGATGTCCTAGCGTTGGCATACAATGAAAAATGGATGCCAACCCATTTTGTGTGAATGGGGCTTTTATTGAGTACAGAAGGGAGTAAAGCACACAGAAAATCTGGGTCGCTACCCATGCATTGATCAGTATAATATTCTACAAATTTATCAAACAGTTAACAAGTGAAGCCCTTTTTACTAAAGGCCATAGATCTATACCGGATAAACTGGGCATCCATGCACTGCATTACTTTTTGTAATGCAATCAATTTAGCTGCACTGAATGATTGATTGAATGATCTTATTGATATATGTGGCCACCATAACACTGCCAGCAAAGCAACAGATATAACTGCTATAGAAAAGACCTGCAGTGCACGACTGACAACTAAATACGACGTGGACATGGAGGTCACTTTACTCCTAGGCTAAGCAAGAGTTGCACAAAAATATCACATGCACTGTTTTTGCGCACCATAGCAAATTCCAAGGCCAGGGTATATATTTATACCCTGTGAGGGTATCGGGCTGGGATGGTTTTAACGTGCACTTTAATTGATAGATGACCAATAATATGTTCACCCTAGTGATGTTTTTTTGGGATCATTTGGGATCAAGCAACCATGGTGACAGGAACTTTCCTGGGGCAAATATTTAAGCAACTGCTTCCCTTATCTCAGTATAATAAAGGAATGATGTAAAGAAATAGTGTTCCTCTTTCAGACTATGTGTCATCTAATTCAGTTGTGTGTCCAATGTACATTTGCTACATTGCAAGTGAAAAGTCCTTGTGCTTATGTACTAGAAATACTCTAAATGCAACATGGACTGCCTCATAGGGCAAAGCACCCTCAAAGCCAGGCCAAGGCTGTGTGCCGACCCATTCCAGCAAGACACATCTTCTAATCAGTGTCCATCCTCATTATACTGCTATGTACAGCTGAGCATTATAGGCAGTCTTGGGAAAACTAGAGTAAAAGGTCCCCACACACCTTGCGATAATCATACAATAATCGCGGGAAATCCCGCAATCGTACGATTATCGTAAGGTGTGTGTGTGGAAGCCGTGCGACCTCTACTACTGTAAGGTCGCACGACTTTAAACTTACGAACATGTTCGAAAACCGGCCGAGCATCATACGATGTTCGGCGGGTGTGTAGCATGGCTCAAGCGCACACTGGCTGTTAGTCATTGTGGTCATCGGAAGCCCGCCCCTCAGGGGGGCGCGGTTTGCGATCGTACGTTTTTTAAAGTACCTTACAACCATCGCAAGACAAAAGTCTTGCGATGGTTGTAAGGTGTGTGCCCAGCATAACAAAGCTCTTGGAATTCATCTGTACACATCTGAGATTGAGGGGTCCCTGGTCATAGAAAACTTATAAAAGTAATGATACAATTTGTTGTATTTTTGTTTTGTGAATCTTTCCCTGTCACGGTCACACTCAGGAATGTGATTGTAACAAAACCGGCTGTTACAACTGGAATTAGTTTGGCACACTTAGTAAATCTCTTACCCAGCACAAATGATATTAGGGCTGCAACAACTAATCGACATAATCGATTATAATCGATTGAAAAACTTGTCAAACTTTTTCAATAATCGATTAATCGGCTTCTGATCAGTTGGCCCTGTTCACGGCTCCACACACGCTGCGCGCCCCACCTCCTCCCTAACTCACGCTCAACGCTGCCAGACCCGCATCCACGCTTTACACGCCGCACCTCCTTCCCGCCTCACACTCACCGCCCGCCCACATTCTCCATCGGCACAGGGACGCGGGGAGATGTAGTAAGGAGGAGCAGGTGTGGGGGATGACAGCGACAGATTGACAGGCCCGATCTCAGAAGCAAGTTGCTGGAAGACTGCTCAGGTATAAGCCTGCACTTTCCCACACGTGGTGCTCTGTAATGTATTGCTGGGATTTTTATACCTCTATAGCTGATGGTACGTTGTGCTGTATATTATACATGGGAATACAAATCCCAGCAATACATTATATACTGTATGCATAATGTACTATTGCTGGGATTTGTTGTACTCTATAGTTGGTGATATTCTGCACTGCATAGAGGACTACAAATCCCAGCAATAATACATTATACAGCGCCATGTGGAATTCCACCAGCTATAGGAGGAGCACTACAAATCCCAGCAATAATACATTATACAGGGGTGCACTGCCGAATACCACTGGCTATAGAGGACTACAAAACCCAGCAACAGTACATTATACAGCGCAATGCAGAATACCACCAGCTATAATGTACTATTGCTGGGATTTGTTGTGCTCCTCTATAGCTGGTGATATTCTGCATTGCGCTGTATATTGTACTATTGCTGGGATTGGTAGTCCTCTATAGCCGGTGCCATTCTGCATTGATTGCTGTATAATTTTACACTTTCCATTTCACTATATTGCACACCACACTTTTTTTTTCTTTTTTACTTCCACCGCTCCAAGCTTGCTCCTTTCAATACAAACTAGTAGTCCATCACTGGAGCCATTTTTTAAAATGTATTTGATTGTTTATCCGATTAATCGAACTTAATAATCGGCTAACTAATCGATTTTGAAAATAATCGTTAGCTGCAGCTCTAAATGATATCAAGTCTACAAGGAAACTACTGAACCAGACAGGCCAGTTCTCTTTTATTGGGTTCAAGTTCTCCCCTTACACATGATGGCTCGCACCCTTCTCATTGCTGGTATTTATTTTCACTTTCCTTAGGACCAAACAAGATGAACAGCAAGATGTGATGTTATACAAGAACATATCAGTTGTCTCCCTTATGCGTATCAAATGTTTTGCATAGTATGATCTATATAAAGAAATATTAAGAGTACAAAAAGACACCAACAATAGGTCTGTTCATATATACCTGGGCCCAGCTGACATCACCGAACAGCTCGTCTCTGTGCAGAACTCTGTGATGGTCCCATATAACATGTTGATCTGATTAAAGAAATCCACAGCTGGAAAAACAAAAAAAGGGGAAGAGGAAATACTAATGTGAATGATATTTGTATAGAGTTATAAAATAGTATACAACCCTTCCCTTATACCACATCCAACTGGATATACCAGATGTAACCCTCCACCACTACCAACGCAGACATCTCGCTGTAATGTCTCTCCTGACGTATTGTCTGCTGGTTCCCTACACAAAAAGAAAAACTTCGAAGTTGGCCATACATGGGAACATTTTTTTTTTTAATTTCCCCCCAACCAGACTAAACAGCACGGACGGGAGCACCCTCCCATATCAGGCCATTGTATTCAGCAGTGGCATCCAAGCACCCATACAATGTCTGCATCTGACTGGAAGCAGGTGCTCATTGTCAGAGAATTTTTGGACCAGCTCCCTCGACAAAAGTCAATTGAACAAAATCTGTTTTGATTTTGCAATGGGGGCAAACCAACAGGGATCAGATGAATTTCGAGCAGTTTATAGGCAACTTTGTGTGATGCCTCACAACTTTCCTATCTGCAACTTCTTGGGAGTCTACAATCCAAACAGTAAAAGGGGGAGGTAAGAGTGTGTTCAGGTGTGATATGTGTATGACAAAGTCCAAATCCCATTCGCACTGCCACGGTCTCAAAACCACAAGGTATATGTGGTGCCAAGGTGACCACACGGATGGCGCCGTGCAAAACACTAATAGTAAATAAAAGTAAATTCACCGGCACACACTTGAAGGGTTTTTAAAGTATTGTATGTTTATTCAATACCCAATGTCACATACTGTCATACAGTGCTAACGTTTCGTGTCCGCACAGGGATCCTTCATCAGAGCGACAGTGACAGATGCCTCACAACTTTCCTAACTGCAACTTCTTGGGAGTCTACAATCCAAACAGTAAAGGGGAGGTAAGCGTGTGTTCACGTGTGATATGTGTATGAGGTACGACATGTGGTGGCGTCAGTGACTATCGGGTAACATTTACTGGAAATGGGCTCATTGCATTCACTGTGTATGGAGTCCTAGTCATACAGAAAAGTAATCGCTCATGGGCACAGTGACTACAAGTTGTTGGTGCCAGTAAACAATGTGAATATGGCTTTATAACACAATCATAAAAAAAACACACCATCTGCAGATCAATCCTTTCAGCAAGTACAGAACTCAGTCTCTCAGAGCCTGAGATGGTCCACATCACCCTATGCTCAACAAATCCATTACCAAGTTAGACTGGGCAATGAAAACTGGTAGAGGATAAGAAAGGGTTTTACCCACATTGACCAATTAAAGCTGCCAAATGAAATGCAGCATCACACTGCCTGGCTACTACAGATAATGCAAATGCTTTTCCATTCTTTTCCATTCCTCTTACATGAGGCCCATTAACCTCTTGCCGTCCGCCCGTAGTAAAAAAACGGACGGACGGCAAAAAAAAATAAAAAAAAAAAATAGTAAATTATTATTAAAGTGACATTAAAGTCACATTCATTTGGTCTTGCGTTTCCATTGGGATACAGCCAAGTAGCCCTCCTGTATTAAGAAGGGGATGTATTGCAGGGACAAGTCTATAATTTTGCCACTTTATAGATCATTGGTTCGACCTCATCTGGAGTACGCGGTCCAGTTCTGGTCACCAGTACTAAGAAAAGATGTCCTTGAGTTGGAAAAAGTCCAGCGGAGGGCAACCAAACTAATTAGGGGTATGGAGGACCAGAGCTACGAGACAAGGCTACTAAATTTAAACATGTTCACATTGGAGGTGAGGAGATTAAGGGGGGATATGATCTCCATGTACAAAATGTTCAATGGTGGTAGCAACATTAGCGATAAACTGTTTAAAATTAACTCCATTACAAAGACTAGAGGCCTTAATCACCTAAAATTGGTGGGAACAAAATTCCAGCACAAGGGGCGAAGGGGGTTCTTCACAGTTAGAGCGGTCAAGGTCTGGAACTCACTGCCACAGGCGGTGATTTCAGCAAAGAATGTGGAATTGTTCAAGAAACTTTTGGACGAATTCTTAAGGGACCGTAATATACAGGGGTACAGGTACTCCTAGAATGAGATCCTAATAGGTTGGACTTGATGGACTAATGTCTTTATTCAACCTCAAATACTATGTAAATAAAAAATGGAACATGAATACTACTGTAACATTACTACTACTACTACTTTAATATTACTACTACTACTATTATTCAATCAAAAATCTTGCTGGTCTGGACAGACTTGCTCCTGAATTAGATTAATTTGCCCACTCCGGGTTTATTGCGGTTTTCATCACCGAAATTGCACCTCATCCATACTAATACAACACAAATGCTGCATCTGGTGAAATGACACTTTACTGCCGATTACAGCTCACATAACATCTAAGTGGCCACATGTACAGTCTATATTTTAGACTTTATATTTTAGCGCACACTCAGGCAGGAACACAAAGCACTCACGGTGTTTACAATTGAGAACACGGTCACTCATAGAATTGAAAGTGAAAACGTTACGTTTAAGGCCCCATTCACACTGAGCGACATGAAAATCACGCAATTTTGAGCGATATTGCGCAAAGAGCGACATCGCGCAACTTTTTCCAATTGGGCTGTATGCAATCAGGAGCAATATCGCTCGAAATCGCTTGAAAAAAAGGGTCATGTAGGAGCGACAAGCTACCAGCGACGTTGAGCGACGAGATGTGAACAGCTCCATTGAAATGGATTGGAGAAGCTACAGAGGAGCGATATCGCGTGGAAATATGAGCGATATCGCTGCAAAAATCGCGCGATAAAATTGCTCAGTGTGAACGGGGCCTTAGAGAGCTCTGGTTTATTTTCCAGCCGGTGACAAATGGACAAAGCCAAGAGGGGATTACAGACCTCAAGACCTGCAAAGACAGCCGGCTCTTAGCCAGACGAGAAGACAGCTATATAAACAGACATCAGCTGTAACACCCCGTCATTCAATCCTCACAATCCATCCTCTGACATGAGACCTTCAGACCAGAGCCCTGCATCTCCAAAACACGAATATCTGTGAACTATACTAACTCGGGGCTGGACAGATTTTAGGAGCCAGGCCACAAATTTACATCTGGCAACCATCTTTTAAGGGTTCCCTCTAGTTGTCAGTGCCGCCTCCTGCATAGGACAGACTAGATCCTGAATTCCATAACGATTTGTCCACCCCTGTACTAACCTGCATTTTATTCCTCCGACTGTGTTTACAACTCTCATTTTCAGACAAAACCCATTATGAGCTGTGGTGTAACTCCATCCTAGTGAGTGAACGCACCCCCAGCACAAAAATAGGAACACTGGCTGTATGAATATATGTGGAAGCTCAGCATTCGGCCTCATTCACACAGCGTAAACTCAGGCCATACACGTCCATGCAGCATGCACGGCCGCATCGGGCCACTCCCGGGAGGGACAGGTGCTGTGATTGGTAGAAAAATGTCACCAGCACACCATGAGTTGAAAAAGCAAAATATTTTATTGCCAATAGCTGTATCTCATTGGCAAGCGCTTTCGGGGCCTCGCAGGGTCCCCTTCATCAGTGCTGTGATTGCACGTGGCAGCCTGTTCTTTCCTATGGACATGTACGGCCCAAGTTAACGCTGTGTGAATGAGGCCTTAGAGCTCACCGCCGTGCAGCCACATAGAGTATACAAGAAAGAGAGTTGATGCTGATCAAAGAGGATCAGATCAAAAAGCAGTTATAAAGGGTCAGAGTATCCACGTAAAAAAGTTAGATTTTATTCTAAATAGTTGAACAAACGGATCACTATCATAAATAACCACAACCTCCACCATATTTATTTATATTTTCTTTATAATAAAATCTAACTTTTTCACGTGGATACTCTGACCCTTTATAACTTCTTTTTGATCAGTATCAACTCTCTTTCTTGTATGCTACATTCTGTTAAGGGTTGTCGAGTATAACCACCTGGAATCATTCCATTCACTTGATAAAAGGTTAATTAAGGATCTAGGTTTCTGGCTAAAAGCCTGTTGTTCAATGCCACAGAGTATGGCCGGAATTACATTGACACTAAACTCAGAAGTTAAAATCATAAAAAATGCATTCAAGTGCCCTACGGCCTGAAAGGTGACCCATAATCTGTAGGGAAAAAAACCCCATATCGGCCGACCCCTAAAATGCATTCAATCTACGCTAAACTGTGTGGTTGGAGGAATCTCCCACTGGGCCAAGCTTTAGTATCTTGCTAGTCGGCCCCGCTGGCTCTCAAAACACCTGAACAATGCCTGCATCCAATCAGATTGTTCAGGTATTTTGAGAGCCAGCGGGACCGACTACTAAGATACTGAAGCTTGGCCCAGTGGCAGATTCCTCCATCCACACAGTGTAGCATAGATAAAGGAATCTGTTGCACTTTTTCCATCTGACCATAGAAAGTCTGCAGATAATCTATAGGTGTATGGCACGCTTAAGTTGGTTAAAATCCTTGTAATGTACACAGATCACCCAGAGAGCATTGTTTCCCCACCTATCAAAAGTGGTATTACTACTTAATCCTTGCTTGCGTTGCCCCACTGCAACGTTTAAGAAAAGATTTGCCTGGGGGTTCTGCTTAAATGTAATCCCTCAGCTCCATAAGGAAATCTTCAGATATTAACTTCAGCCAGAAGCAACTGGTTTTCTGTTCTGGTAGAGCGCTGGCAGGGAAGGGGGGCTTGCGATATGTTTAGCACCATTTCAACTTCTAACAGGGTTATTCACTAAGGGTGAAGCGTTTGAAGAAGGGTGGAGAAGTGAACAGTTACAACATAGCTGAACTGGAATAATTCTCCAATTCAGCTATTGTTCACTTCTCCAAACTCTTCACCCTTTTGTGAATAAGCCTGTCAGTCTATGTACAGATACCCATAAAATCACCATAAACAAGGTCAACATCACGTTTTTCCATTTGCACTGCTGCCTCCCAACAGCTGCCATTCCAATAATCTTTTAAGCTGCTATGATAAAAACAGAGGCGTCTTCCACATTGTCGCATTTTCTAAAAAGCTAAAATGGTGAATCCAGCAGCTAGAAGACAAGACCTGCTTCCTGCCACTGACACCATTTAAAAGCTGAGACGTCAAGTGCAGAGATCCTTTACCAGAGACAACAACGTGTATAAGAACTGATTTATGCAATCATCACCCAAAACATGCATCAAAAAGGTGCTAAAATGTGGAGAAAGCTGAAAAGGTGTCACATACTGAAGCCATTGGGCCATAGTGACACATTGCAATGTACTTGGTACTTACTGTTAACAGCAATCCATTCATTGAGATCTTCTCCCTCTGGCAACATCACAGCTTGTCTGAGATTCCCACTACCAAGTGTGGCCTCTGCATGCTTAAGGAGCTCATACTGATGGGATCCCTCTGGAATGTTCTTCTTGGGTTTGAAGGTTTTTGACGATCGATTACCACTAGGTAAAGGCACAAAATAATCAGTGTAAATCCAGAGAGTTCTGTAGTGAATTCCTGCAAACACATCCCTTATGTACACCTCAGTGATTACCTGAGATTCCTCCAGACAAGGAAGTGCCGTAGGCACCTCCACCCAATCAGCTGCGGTACAAGCATCCCCTGATCTGCAGCTGAACGTAAACAAAGGGGTGGGATGCCTGTGATGACATCATTTACCTAACATAGGCATGTAGCCATACAAGGTCAGTGATGTCACTGCATCGCACCCCTTTGCTTAGATCAAACTGTGGGTGGTCTGCAAGGGGCTTCCTTCCGTGTTTGGGACGGACTTCTTCCAGGTTCAGAGGAGCACAGGTTTGTTCTGAACCCAAGCTCCTTCTTAATCAGCACATATGATCGTCAACATACCTCTCACCTACCAAATACTCCCGACCAACTACTCATACTAGTCTACAAGTCTGCTTACCTGCAGCTCCTGTTACTGCATCCTCCCAACATCAATTAGGACTAAAGTATATTGGATATTGAGATCATTTAGGGCCTGGTCACACCAGATCTGCTGAGCTACATTTTTCTGCACACCACAGACATGAATGGTGTGAACAGAGCAAATAGAAAACCATTATTACATACTATACATTTGCGGTATTGTGCAGAAAAAGGCAGCTCAATAAACATGGTGTGAACAAACCCTAAAGGTCAGTTAAGGACCAGTTTGTAATTTGCCTCAATTACACCAATGTGAATGCCCATGTACACTTGCCCCTGCCGTCCACTTAGGCTGATATCAAATGCGTTATCTGCCAGCCGCAGAGTCACCAAGGTCAAGCAACAACTTACTGTAATGGATGTTGCACCATCAATGACCTGGAATGCTGCAGAATCTGGACATAGGGGGACAACAGTAGAGGAGTCACATCTCGCTGATCCAACCAACAAGGAAATAACTCCATAGGAAACGGCGAGAAGGCTCTTAGCATTCCTGCCGCTGGTAAGTTGTCAGTGGAAGATCAATCGTCTGACATCAGCCTACAGCCATTTATTCAATGACCCAACACCCCTTACCCAATTACTTTATAAAAGTCTCCTCTGCCCAAAAACTTTTAGACTTTTTTGATCTGTACACTGTCCGCAATGCATGTACAGCATAGCGGAGAGTTCCTGCAAACGAAGCTAGGTGATATTATAATTCCAGCGCACATGTGCAGGCATTACATCAGTGCCTGACCAATGGGTGAAGCAAGAAGACCTGGAGGAAGATAAGAAGTAGATGAGGGTACTAGGATCTCCAGCTCTGGAGAGCACACCCGAGGTAAGCGTGTTATAACGTGCATGTATGCTGTGCATGTTGACCGCCACCCACCATGATTTACTCCCACTCTAATACAGGCGGAAGCGTCTATGTACAAAGCCTACGTCTTCTTACAGCTCACTCACCTGCACAGTCCCATGTCCGCATTGTTCACTTTGTAGTGCCCTTACCTGTTACCTTCCATCTAATCCCCCGGGATTAGATGGAAGCACTTGCAGCATTTTGTCTTAGGGCCCAGTACTTTATGTAACTGCAAGGCAACGCATGTTGCACAGCACTGCAATGCATGCCTGTTGGCAGGTGTGTTGGGGTGCATTGAGGATCAATGGCAATGAAAACGGCACACCCAGCTTGCAGTGGGAAATACCATGTGCTAAACACACAAACCCCACACATTTAGCATGATGCTTTAGTGTGAACAGGCACTTAATGTCCGCTTATATCACGGTGAGGCCGGCAGTACACTGCGTTAATGCAATGCCCGGTATCTCAGGAACTGTGTGTTCACTGCAGGGCCTTTCATTCAGTATGGCACCCCATTGTCCACATACAGCAACCGCCAACATGCCTGAACTATGGACTGCAACACAACGCACACAGAGCACAACTGTCACTCACAAAGCTTTAAAGGCTAACTTCACCTCCGCAACAATTCAAGAAACGCATCATTTATAATATCAAAATTATGTGTTTCTTTAAAAAAAAAAAAAAGAAGAGAACTATGGGGTAAGTGTTTTTCCCCATAGTCCTCTTAAGGGTCACCAGGAGAACATATACTAGCGTCCTCCCGTGACCTAAAGCTCAGTATATCGCAAGCTACAGCTCGTGGTATACTGAGACCGCTGCACCTGGGACGGATCCCGACATTACTGTCGAGATTCACCCAGCTGCATGACAGCTGGCTCTGCCCACCTAGAGGCAGAGCCAGCTGTAACCTCCCCCTCCCCCATCCGTTCCTCCAGTCAGCGCTGGAGGATCGGAGTGGGTAATCCCTGCAGGGAGCCGTGAGTGACCGCCACGGCTCTCTGCAGGGAGATGATCGATGAGTGAGCGAGCGACAGTATGTGTTCACTGAGCCGACATGTGACAGTTTCATTGTCACACGTCGGCTCGATATGGAGGAGTGATTTTCACTCACCTACTACCGGTAGTTCTCCTTTAATTTTTGCATTCAAGCCTGGAAAGCATTGCAACAGCGATCACTCCTGAAAAGCTCCTCAGGCTTCTGCACATTCACTCGCAAGCAGAGCTCTGTACTGAGGTCAGTTAGGAGAGATGGGGGAAGACTGCTGGACTTCAAACTGATGTAAACCACCTCATACAGTGTCCATCTGTCCTCCCTCTGGTTAGATGCAGGAATATGGACAGCTCCACCGCATGTAACAAAAGGGAGGACAGCTGGACGCTGTACGAGGGGATTTAAAAAAGTGACATTTAAAATAGGGCTGGTAATGATTAACATTTTTGTGTTCCATTAATCAAAATTTATTAATTTAATTTCGATTATAATGCACATACAGATCCAACTACATTGGCCTATACACATACAGCACAGCAATGAAGTAATACAATTAACTAGAATCACACTAATCCAGCACGCTATTAATCTCACGTGGGGCAACTCAGAATAATAATGTGCTGGATTAGTGTGATCCTAGTTCATTTTATTACTTCATTGCTGTGCTGTATGTGTATAGGCCAATGTAGTTGGATCTGTATGTGCATTATAATCGAAATTAAATTAATAAATTTTGATTAATGGAACACAAAAATGTTAATCATTACCAGCCCTATTTTAAAAAGGCACAAACCCCCCCCCCCCCCATGCTGCTTTAAGGACTTACTTTAAATGATGCCTCTTGTATAGAGAAGTCCCTCCAGTGCTGGTATCGGTCTCTGATCCGGCTCCTCGGGTGCCGCGGTGTCTGTTCAACATGCAGTGGAACAGACTGTAGGACCCCCTGCGTGCATTCACCTCCACTTTTTCTCTCACCTCCCCCCCATCATCATCCTGCACGGCCACTCATGAAGCTTCAGAACTTCGGATGGGAGCGGGCGGCAGAGAAACAGGTAAGTTTTCAACTCTTTGGTAACTTTTTAAATTTGTTTTAATTGTTTGGCATCGATCTACTGTGTGCCAGCAGTAGAAATATGCAGAACAAAAACCACAAAAGGTTTAATTATACTTTACTGCAATTTGAAGTGCAGCCGTCCTTCCCCTTCTCTCCTAACTGACCTCAGTACATCGCTCTGCCCGGGAGAGAACGTGCAGAAGCCTGAGGAGCTCTGTATTGCGTGATCACAGGTGCAAAGCTTTCCAGGTTCACATGCAAAAATAGAAATTCATTTTTTAAAAAAAAAACATTAAATATTAAATTTCTTTAATTTTTTTCAAAAGGTGAACTATGCCTTTGAAGATAAAGCTCTCGATTCTAGACCTGTGACTTTTCAAATCTTACTTGACTCCGTTTTACATAAGTGGCACTTCCCTAAAAGAAGTCTCTTTACTCAGGTGTGTCAGCTTCATGATCTGAAATCCAGTGTACCCATCACACTCCTGACTGAATAATACCCTTAAAGTCGGGTGGGTGCCAAAGTGACTGCAGATGCCTCTGCAATCCCAGATAAATGTATGTATAAAGTCACTCGCACTCCACGTTTCAGAACAGCGGTTCCTTCTTCAGGTTAACAGAATGTCAAAATACACATTGTGTGCCTGAAGAAGGAACCGTTGTTCCGAAAAGTCGCTATATGATGCGATAACAATCGAGTCAATAAACCGTTTTTGACTTGAAATTATATTGGAGTGCGATTGACTTTATACATACATTTAGCTTCATAATCTGTGCACAGTGAAGGGTTGTGCTGGCAAAATTATACTAAACATGACATCATAGTCCATCACAGCGACCATGGGGGAGCAAAAGTAGCCACCCTCCAGAAGGACAGTGTCGGCATCAATTCAGAGATGATTTGAGGATCTACAGCCGAGTGATCCACAAACAGTATACATTTATGTTAAAAAGGTACTTCAATGTATTTTGAAGATTTAAAAGAGAACTATTGGGGTAAGTGTTTCTCCCCAAAGTTCTCTTTAGGGTCACGGGAGGACATACCCTAACCGTCTCCCGCAACCCAAAGCTCAGTATATAGCAGGATATTGCCCGCGATATATTGAGTGCCGCAGCCACGACGGATCCCGAAAATACTGTCCTGATCCACCCAGCTGCGTGAGTGACAGTTGGCTCTGCCAATCTAGAGGAAGAGCCAGCTGTACCCGCCCACTCCCCTGTCCATTCCTCCACTCATTGCTGGAGGATCGGAGAGGGGGAATCACTGTGGGCATAGGTGACTGATCATCCTCCTGCTGAGAGCGGTGACTAACGGGAAGTGAGCGAGTGACAGTATGTGTTCGCTCACTTCCCGATCAATAGAGCCGACCTGTGCCAGCTTCTTTGTCACAGGTCAGCTTTAACTATGAGGATGAAGTGTAATTCACTCCCCTCAGTTCTCCTCTAACTCCCGGAGGTCAGTGTCACTTTAAGGCAGCCCATGCATTTTGAAGGGCCTGGCAGCCCACCTTTTGCCAGCACAGCCCTTCACCGTGCACAGACCTCGATAAACCCAGATAAGGAGACTTCTTTTAGGAGAGTGTCACTTCTGTAAAACTGAGTCCAGTCAGATTTCTACTCGAATGTATTTTTAGGATTGAACTCCTGATTTTAGGTCACTTTAATGAAGTGCGCCTCAAAAAAACACATGCGCTAACATACCTGGAAATGTAACAGCCCATGTACACTGTTTTTACCGCATGTATTCCAAGATGCTAGAACACATGTCGAGGATCCCTATAATATAGTTTCTGCTCCCATCTCGTGTGTTTCAACAAACATAGCATGTCGGATTATGTTTGTTATGCATTGAGAGGCACATACAAGTCAATGGCAACACATAAAACATTCATTCTAGAGCACTGGCAAGAGGCAACAAGATTTGGCCAATGGATGGCAACACAATCCACTCCAAATTAGAAAAAACAAAAACATTAAAACCACACGACAATGCACATGGCCAACACTCCCCTACACACACATAGATCTAAATGGGCATTTAAAGGGTCCAACAGCAGCTTACTTACCAGCACACTTCGCAGGGCACCTACCTGCCACCTTCTTCCAGCAATCTGACCCTCTGCGTGTTATAATGCATCTGGTACACCTGCACTCTGTGCTCCTTGTCAGAGGATTGACAGCCCCCTCCCCCCACTTCCTCCCTGCACAGCTTCTGCTTTAACCCTCCACCGTCTCCACCCTCCGCCCCAGGCCTCCCCCGTGTCCCGGCTCTGGGCCACCCCAGTACTCACAAGAGGAAGCTCATGTTGCCGGGGAAGGAGACTGGAATCTCCGACCCACCGCCGATAATTCTCCTCACTCGTTGACTGCGCGACACGAACACCGACAACTAAAAGCCACTTCCGGCCGAGCCCGCCCACACTTCGCGTCTCGCGGTGGCACTGAGGAACTCCAAGCCACGCCCTCAGCTAGCTTAGTACGATGATAGGTCGCAGAAGGAAGAGTGGGCGCGGCTTTCCTCGACGGATGGGCGTGGCTCCTGAGGATGACGTCGCTTCGCACGTCAGGGTGCTGTCTTGCGTTGGCTCGGAGGAACTCTAAGCCACGCCCTCCGCTATATTGTGATAGGTCACTGCTCGGGCCGTGGGCGCGGCTCTCCACCGACAAATGGGCGTGGCTCATAATGACGTCAGGGGCTATGTTGTCGGGGCTTGCAGGTTGGCCAGGTTCCAGCAGTCTGAGAGGTCTGGTCGGGGGATAACGTGCAAAGTGTTCATACACCCGGGACATGTGTCATAAAACATGTGGGGGACACAAATGCGATCATCATCCAACTCAGGCTGCAGTGCAGCATTAGTGCCCACACCAAAGTGGAATAAGTCTCAACTACTGCCAGACTAGGAGCATCAACTGCGTAAGGCCCCGTTCACATGTAGCGAATTATCGCGCGATTTCGCGAGAAGTCGCCGGCCAATGGTTTTCAATGGAGCTGTCTTAACTCCATGTCGCGCGTCGCGGTCGCAAGTCGCTTCTACCGGACCCTTTTTTCGGCGGATTTTTCGCGATTTTGCCTTTTTTCTATGGAGCCCGACGGAGAATGTCGCGCTACCGTCGCTGGAACGTCGCCCCGAAAGTCGCGCTATCTCGGCCGTGCGGATCCGCTGCAAAAGGTATGTCGCTAGGTGTGAATGGGGTCTAAAACTGACATTACTATTAACCATTTGGTGACCAGGGTGTTTGAAGTAGTTTGACATTTATTCTGTCATGCAACGCTGTACTGAAATTAATTTTATACCATTTTTTGATTCCTCCTGATGCCCTCCGAGCCGGTCCCGGGCCTCAGATGGGGCAGCGGATCGCGGGATTCAAGGTGAGGGGCCAGGGGGGGAGTGGGGCAAAAAACAGGCGGAGCCGCCGATCGTCTGTATGTGAAACACCCGGTAACGGGTGTTTGCATTGGTCGGGTCTTTTCTGCCCGCGCGCGCCCGCGAGCAGAAAACAAATGCCGTCTGGAGACAGCAACCCACCAATGCTGCAGTGCCGTCCGTCTGTTTTTTTACAACGGGCGGACGGCAAGTGGTTAAAATTGGGTGCGCCTGCAAACTCGCAAAAAAACTACCATACCCAAAATTGGCCGTAGGTGACGCTTTAAAAGCTTTTACCGCTCATCAGTTTAGTGTTATCAGTGATTGATGGCCCTGGAATTATTGCTCTCACTGCGACGTTTGTGGCGATATGTAACATGTGCGGGGCAATGGATGCAATTGTCTTTGTTGCACGTAGGCGCACTCGACGCATATTTGCATGTGAATGTGGGGGGCGGAAGACTTTAAAAAAAAAAAAAAAAGGCATTGCCTTTTTATGTGACTTAATTTTTACATTTTTTTAAACTAATTTTTTTAAACCTTTTTTTCCACTTAACTTTATTGCTATCACATAGGGGACTAACAAGTCCTCTATGTGATAGCCAATTTGCATTGCCGGGCCCTCTTTATGGAGACTATGGTCTATAGGACCCCTAATGTTATCTGGGGACCCCCAGAAAAGCTTATGAAGCAGAGACCTGCTTCCCCAGCTTCTGTACCGGAGAGTGTCAGAGGAATGCGGAAGTGATGTAATACACATCACTTCCTGCATTCCGAGGAGGAGGAGTTCAAACGGAGATCGTGTATTGATCTCCAGTTGCAGAGCTGCTGTGCTGGTCCCGGGCTTACGGCGGAGCTCGGGATCACCAGCAAGGGGGTGGGGGGTGGCATGGGCGCGCGCACACTCACGCATATTACAAGCGATCGGGCGTCTCTACAGACGGAGACTAGCGCTGTGCACATTACATGCACGACTCCTTGTTAGCTGTGTGGTTGGACAGCGGTGAGGGGAGACGGGGGTGCGCTGTCTACCACACTAGCTCAGCATCCAGATCACCTAGAAAGACGGGACAAAGTGCTACATGCACTTTCTT